GAGAAATAAAAGCTGTGGAATAAAACCAAAAATTCTTTTCCCTCTTTAACCAAGAAGTAATAATAATTACTTTTGTCTTAATTATCTTTTTTGGATCATCTGCTGCTGCCCACCACATGGTTGTGCATGTGCTGCTATGGGCCTCATATCAGTTAAATATCATCTGCTGCTGCCCACCACATGGTTGTGCATGTGCTGCTATGGGCCTCATATCAGTTAAAATAGCTACAGTAACTCAGACAAAAACCATCTTTAAGAAATGTGTTTTGTAAGCCTCTTTCTACCTGGTTTTCTTAACCACACTATGCTTTTCCCAGACGCATCTAGTGATCTTGCCATTACTTAGCAAGCTGCAGAAAAACAGTGGAGAAACAGACAGCTCTTCTCTACGTTTCAAAAGGCAGGCTACAAACACAAAACTCCTATATGCATTAGGTCCTGCGTACTTAAATATAACCATCATGACTGTTTCCTTGTATACAGACATTTAGTATGAATATTTTTCTTTTTTCTAGCTTGGGAGTTACAATGATTTCAAAGAGCACAAATTTGATGTGACTGGTATTGGTATTCAGGTTGTATGTACAAACTGCACTATACTGTACTTTTTGTAAACTAATGTAAGTAGACGAGAAGATTGTACAACGTGTAGATCTGCCAACTGTAAGAAAAAAACCCTTTTCATAAAAGCTGAGAATATATTGACTTTTCTTCCTTGTTTTTTTTTAGATAACCCCAAAACACCAAAGTTAGAGCAATCATTTTGAAAGTCAGTACTTGCCACTGCCACTGCTTGTTAGATTGCCGAGATGACGCGTTGTGTTTCACGCTCACTGAACTAGCTGCGTGGAAGTGGCTAGTGAGGGTCGCTTTGTGTTCCTAGTCATTCATAAGAGCAAAAGAGTTTGTGGGGAGGGGGAGCAATATCTTTGCATAAACACACTGCCTATACCGCTTCCATTTCTTTGTAGCATAACAATGCATTTAAATCCGCATATGTTAAGTCCTAAGAGGTAGATCACTTTCAATGGCACCCACATTGTTTCATGGGGAAAAAAAATGTTTTGATTGTTTGTGAGATAAGTATTGCATATGTGTTGGTTGTACACAGATTTTTGAAATGCCCAATGGCTCACTGTTTCTATGGTGACTTCATCATACATATTATCCATTTCTATCACGCATTTAAATTGTTTTTGATTTGTACATAGTCCATTTAGTCTTTTCATCTTTATATAAACTGAAATTATGGAATACATAATAGATCAAGATGCTTAATTTTTAAGAACTTATATTTGTAAAAATTTCTCTATTGTGAATAAAGTCTTTTAATATATCTGTTCAACTTGTTAATAGTTTTTCCTGAGTGTGTTGCAGAAGTAACTACAGGAATCTGCTGCATAGTCTGGTTTGGCTGCTATACTGATGAATTTTTGTCAGCAGATTGGTTTGATATGAATTGGTACTCTGTGTACTTGTTACTGTACTATAGTTAATCAATGTTAGTCAGTGTATAGAATTGCTAACCACAGAAATAAATTCCTGGAAATTTTTGTCAATAAAATGTATTTTGGTAGAAAGTGAGCTTACTAATGAAGAGTGGGAAGCTGGGAAGTCAGAGGCAGCAGGCAGTAAGCGCAGTGAAGGTCAGTCACTCCAATTCACGTTCTGCACCATACAAGCAGGCTCCAGCTAAATGCCATTTAGGAGCAAACACGGGAGCAGAGATGACAAGGCTGTCACAGTGCCCAGCGTTACATGATCGTGTAATGAAAGATTATCGTTAGCCCATGCTCCAGAGCAGAGAGGAACAGTTGTCATAGGAACTGTAACTACATTTTGTGTCAGAAGGATGTGGCGGTAAGATCTCCAATCTAAATATTGAAATAGCAGCTACACTTCAGAGGTAACCTTGTTTTCTCTGTTTAGTAGAACACCTCGTCGAAAGGTGATAGTGAAATAAACTGCGATGATTTTACAGAACAGTCTCAGTAGTATCAATTTCTGTCAATGGACTTACTCATTAGACCTGCTTAAGAAGTCATTTTTGAGGGTGGCTCTTGGTTCTGGTGTCTCTTTTTCCCCCCCAGCATCGCTGCGAGTGTGCAGCTCTACAGTGCAATCCTTGGGGTCGTCAGCAGACAGTCCCCTCCCCTAGCTGATGCCAGGGCCACACAAAGCGCTGCTCAACAAGTTAAACACGAACTAATGCAAACCTTAGCACAGCACATTAGTCACAAGAGATGTAAATACAAGCATGGGTTAGAATTTCAACCGATTTGGCGTCTTAATTGGATGCTAGGTGCGATTTGTTTTCTGCAGGGGAAAAAGGAACTAGGACTCAGCTGACAATTAGTCAAGACAAACAGGATTTGCCCCGCCATCTGCATTGCCCTATGGCCTTGCTCTATCACAAGAGAAACTCACACTTGTATAAGAGCATCCGCTACAGAAACAGTCCTTCATCTGATCCACCTTAATCTTGGGATTAGTCTGTCCTCGTTGATCTCAAATGCAGGAGGAAAGATTACGCATCAAAAAGCAGTCTGCCGAACCCAGGAACTGGTCACTGAGACTCAGAGTTCCTGTCTGAATGCTGCGAGAAGAGATGAAACACTGGGTTTTTCTCTCTCCTGCTTTTATGCACTCATACATGCACAAAGTTGTGGATGGAGCAAGTGGTGGCTGCAGACTCCAGTGAGAGCCCAGCAGGCTGTTAGCATTCAACAGTACCTCAAAAGCCAGCAGTTTGACCCTCCTTCCTCAGCTATCTGCTCTGCTATCTGCGCCAGCTCTCACCCTGCAATTAAAATCACCAAAATCAACCTTCCCTTTGCAAGCCTCTCTCTAAAACTTTCACATGCTCTCCAAGCTTTCTGTGCACACTTGGTAGCTGATTTGTGGCAGGTTGTCTGACTTTCACCGTTCCCATACTGACATTTTACAGGACATTAAAGACACCACTCACTATTGATATTTTATGCCTTCCCTTCAATTGTGCGTTGCTTTCACACCATCAATCAGAGTAGCACAGAGCTGCTATTAGTCTTGAGCACTTAAATTTAAAAAAAAAAAATAAAGTTGTCAGTGTGACTTTATAATACTGTCACATTCTGGCCACTGATTGATCTGCCAAGGAGCATCACCCTGTGACAAGGGGGACTTGCTGGTACTCCAGAAGCTCCAAGAGGTGCTATGGTTGGCAACACGTCTGACAGAAGAGCCCAAAGACCTTTCACTGCTTATCTCAGCCATGGAGGAGAGC